ATCTCTATAATAAATCCAAAATTAGTCAGGCATGGTGGCACACGCCTGTGGTTCCAGCTACTTGGAAGGCTGAGGTGGAAGGATCTCCCGAACCCAGAAGGTTGAGGCTGCAGTGGCTGTGAGCGTGCCACTGTGCTCCGGCCTGGGTGACAGAATGAGACTCCGATTAAAAAAAAAAAAGACTTTCAAAGGCCAAGACAGTCCAAAAACTAGGCCTCCTGTGCCAAACAGTTTGCCAAGCTGTGAATGCAAAGAAAAAAATTCTTGAAAGAAATAAAAAATGATACTCGAGAGAATGCACAAATGATAAAAGAAAGCAAAACAGCCCTATTGCTGATATGGCGAAAGGCATAGTGGTCTGGAAAGATCAAGCCAGTCGCAACATTTCCTAGTCAGAGTAAGACTAGAACTCTCTTCGATTCTATGAAGGTCAAGGGGAAAGTGCAGAAGAAAATCTGGAAGCTGAAGAGGTGGCTTCATGAGGCTTAAGAAAAGAAGTCTTCTCCATAGCAGAACAGAAAAGGTGAAGCAGCAAGTGCTGATGTCGAAACCATAGCAAGTTATCGGGAAGATCTTGCTAGAACTGCTGATGAAGGCCAATCATTCAATTTTTAAGGTAGCCTTAAAATGTAGACTTCTATGAAAGAAGATGCCATCTAGGACTTCCACAGCCATCAAGAAGTCCACGCCTGATTTCAAAGCTTCAAAAGGCAGGCTGACTCTTGTTAGAGCTAACGTAGCTGGTGACTTTAAACTGAAGCCAATGGTCGTTTAGCACTTCCAAAATCCCAGGGCCCTTCAGAATCATGCTGGCAGGGCTTGGTGGCTCAGTAGGTAATCCCAGCACTTCGGGAGGCCGAGGTGAATGGACTGCTGAGCCCGCGGGTTCGAGACCAGCCCAGGCAACTTGGTGAGACCTCATCTCTACAATGAATCAAAAATTAGCTAGGCATGGTAGTGAGTGCCTGTAGTTCTGGCTGCTTGGAAGGCTGAGGCAGAAGGATCACCCAAGCCCAGGAGACAGACATTGTGGAGGCCGTGAGTGTGCCCTGCACGCCAGCCGGGACGACAGAGAGAGACTCCAACTCAAAAAAAAAAAAAAAAGAATTATGCTAAATCTACTCTGCCTGTGCTCTAGAAATAAAACAACAAAGCATGGATGAAAGCACATCTGTTTTCATCACGGTTCAATGAGTACTTTAAGCCCACTATTGAGAACTCCTGCACAGAAAAAAAGATTCCTTTCAAAATATGCTGCACCTGATCGCCCAAAAGTTCTGATGAAGATGTACAAGGAGATTAACGTTGTTTTCACACCTGCTAATACAACAACCATTCTGCAGCCTATGGACCAAGGAGTAATTTTGACCTTCAAGTCTTATTATTTAAGAAATACATTCTGTAGGCCAGTCTTGATGGCTTATACCTGTAATCCCCACACTTGGGAGGCTGAGGCAGGAGGATCACTTGAGCCCAAAAGTTTGAGACCAGTCTGGACAGCATAGCAAGACTTCGCCTCTAAAAAAAAAAAATCGAAGAAAGTAGCCAGCCAGGTGTGGTGGTGCACACAGTAGTCCCAGTTACTTGGGAAACTGAGGCGGAAGGGTCACCTGAGCCCAGGAGGTCAAGGCTGCAGTGAGCCATGATTATGCCACTGCACTCCAGCCTGGGTGACAGAGTAAGACTCTGACTCAAAAAAAGAAAAAGAAATACATTTTGTAAAGCTATTACTATCATAGATAATGATTCCTCTAACGAATTTGGATAAAATAAATAGAAAACTTTTTGGAAAGGATTCACCATTCTAGATAACATTAAGAACATTCACAGGAGGAGGTCAAAATAGCAACATTAATAAGAGTTTGGAAGATGTTGATTGCAACCCTCATGGATGACTTTGAGGGGTTCAAGACCTCAACTGAGGTAGTCATGGCAGATGGGGTAGAATCAGCAAGAAAACCAGAATGAGAAGTAGAACCTGAAGGTATGACTGAATTTCTGCAATTTCACGATAAAACTTAAATAAATGGTCAAGGAGTTACTTCCTATAGATGAACAAAGTAAGTTGGCTTCTTGACCTGGAATCTACTCTTGGTGAAAATGCTGTGAACACTGTTGAATATTGACTATGTTGAAGAGGATTTAAAATATTACATAAATTTAGTTGATAAAGTAGTGGCAGGGTTTGTGAGGACTGAGTTCAATTTTTAAAGAAGTTCTTCTGGCTGGGCTTGGTGGCTCAGCCTGTAACCCCAGCACTTTGGAAGGCCGAGGTGAGTGGATTGCCTGAGCCCGTGTGTTCGAGACCCGCCTGGGCAACTTGACGAGACCTCATCTCTATAATAAATCAAAAATTAGCCGGGCGTGGTAGCGCGCATCTGTAGTTCCAGCTACTCAGAAGGCTTCCAGCTACTCGGAAGGATCGTTGGAACCCAGCAAGTCGAGGCTGCAGTGGCCGGGAGCAGCCACTGCACTCCAGTCTGGGAGACAGAGTGAGACTCCAACTCAAAAAAAAAAAAAAGTGATCGAGTTCTGCCATAAACTATCAGCAATAGAGTTTTATCAGTTATGTTCTTCTTGACTACGTAACAAAAACCTAACCTGAGCTGTCATAAGCAGAACGGAAGTCCATTATGAAGATACAGGGCTGTTTCATAGAAGTCAAGAGTAGGACTGAAACTAGGTCCCAGGCAGGTATGTAAATCAATCAGGGAACCAGCAGGAAAACAGAATGCTCATAAGAGTTCAACAGCAAGCGAATTTAATGAAAAGATCACAAAAACGTGGATAGATTAACAGACCCTGTAAGGTATGATGAAGCACCAAGAACCAGCAAGAGCAGAAACTGACATCATGCCTTAGCCTAAAAGTTCAAGTAGAAGGAATGTTTTCACCACAGTCCAACAAGAGCCACAGCTATAAGAAGACGCACCCAACAGGAGCTTTACCTGTTGAAAATCAAAGCCATTGCCAACAAAGCACAAGAGCAGAGGAAATAAATACCCTGACTGCTTTCTTCTCACCCTCTTAATCTCCTGCAGGCGTGCCTACAGTCCAAACCCAACCAGGAGTTAGAGGCAAAGGAGTCCAGATCTGTAGAAGTCAGCCTCCCAAGGCACAAGGCAAAACAGACAGCAGAGAAAAACGGATCAGTCGGGCGGGGACGTGAAAGAGTGAATAACCAACACAATATGGAAACCAGCATCACTCTCTAACAATCCAAAAATCACTAATTCAATGCAAGTCATTTTCTAGGATCACATTCCCTGTAATATAGAGAGTATGAATGTACAAGGGAAATCAGAAGCTAAAAAAGGATAGTTACTAAAAAATAATAAAGAAAAACTTTAATAGACAACAATTCTTTTCTTTAGGCTTAGTAATAACTTGTGAGTTGCTTCATTTTAAAACTCAAAGGAGTCACGACATCATTATTCTAATTTTTCCAATTCAATTCTGAAGAAATATTTAAAATAATATGAGGTGTATAATATGCTATGACAGTATTTAACAAATTTTAAGATCCTTATACCATTAAACACCACTGATATATCTCAATTATAAAAAGTACCATTATAAAGGAAATTTTTATCCTCTAAAGTTGTATTAAATATAATTAAAACTAGATACCAATACCTATTTTTATGTCACTTTTATATACTTTGATTTAACAAATTATGAAACACAAATGCTATTGGGTAAAATTTAAATAAAAACAAAGTTACACATTAATTTCATAAAATCACAGCTAGTGACCAGCCTGGGCAACACAGTAAGACCCTGTCTCTACAAAAAAGGAAAACAATTAGCCTGGTGTGCTGGTGCATGCCTGTAGTCCTGACTACTCAGGAGACTGAGGTAAGAGGATCACTTGAGCCCAGGAGGTTGAGGTTATCATGAGCTCTAATTGTGACAAAGCGAGACCTTATCTTTAAAAGAAAAGAAAATTACAGCTAAAAACACACAGACTAAAAAACAGATCCATAATAGCAAAGCACACTACATTTCCAATAGTTCACCAGCTGAGAAATCTTCAGATCCATAAGGTAAAAATTTGAGTCTTGATTAGATCCTTCCACTTTTTCAAGGACAACAAACTTCCTTAACTTAAGAATTTTCTAAAAAGTCATTTGCCAAATTACTGTTTGATTCCTTTAACAAAATTTTTTTTTAAAGCAGAGTACTATAGCATGATTTTAAGGAGCAAGAAATTTAATTTTATGTGCCTTTTGAAGAATATAAAGGAGGCTGTTTCAGATAACAACCAAAGAATTCGAGGCTGACAGTATGGCAAAAGAAAACTGACACAGAAAAGTAAAAAAGCACCTATAGCAAAGCTATGCTAGCACACACAATGGGACAAACACTCAAAATTAAGATCAGTGAACAGAATTCATTCACCAACTAACGCTCTTGCTGGTTCCAGCAATGTCTTACCTATCATATGATTTCTATAACTCTTTGTCATCTTAAGTGGGCAAAAACTAGAATCAAAACATTTTACCTACGCATTTTTATCTAGAAAGAAGATGTACACAGTAGTGGCAAACGAAGGAGAAAACCAGCTTAGAAAGTATAGAATACGTACTATGTTACAGTCTGTGTCCTACATAACCTTTTAAATACATGACCTTTAAGTTGCTGAAGGTTGCCTCAGAATTTGGCTCGGTCTGATCGAAACATCTGTTCCCCTCGCAGGTATACTGTAAGGACTTTTTTCTCAGTTGGATTCAGAACACAGCAAGCGAGCCCTTGTCTGTCCAATCGCACAGACCCCAACACTTGTAAATCAAGTTCTGGGAGGACAACAGCAGGTCCACACTCCGTCACCCCCTCTCAGCCAGCTAGGCCAGCTGACTGCTGTGAGAACTGCTCTTATCATGTCATCAAATCAAAACATGTTGAGATGAGGGACTAGAAGAGGCATCTGCAGAATTCCCAAAATGGAGTGACTTTGGAACATTGACAGATGCATCTGTCATTTTATACCTTCAACTAACCTGATGTCCACTGGCCCGACACAGTAAAGCTGTCCAAGATCGATTCCAATTCTTTCCCGTTATTTTCACATGTCTCTACTAGGAAGGCCTGGTGCTTCTTAGCCTTTTAATTCAGAAAAAAAATTACACATGATAAGGTCACGTACCACAAGAGCTGCAGATTTTTAGTGTAAGCATATACAACACAAGTAGGTATAAACAAGTAATAATTTCTCCATTCAAATATATTATCGGTGAGCCCTCTTTCTTGTTTAATCATACATTTTACTTGGCTCAGTGTAAAACTGTACAAGACTTCATGTACAATTTACTGAGTATTTAGTGCCTGGCACTATTTATTGTATTTTATATGTTGTGATTCTTTTTATCCTCATATCATCCTGTGATGGAAAGGTGATTATCCCAATTTTACAGATAAGAAAACTGAGACATAGGACTTAAAGAACACTTTTTTAAAAATCACGCTTACAGTCATGTGACAAATTACCGGATGGCAGTCAAAAGAGAATGCAGTTAAGACCCATTTAAAGCTTCTGCAGCAAAGTGATGGTAGCTTGGTGTAGAGTACTAGCAGTAAAAAAGGGAGTAAGGGTGGGGGTAGACGCACTGGAAAAATACTTAGAAGGTAGAATAGCCAGGCTTTAGTAAAACTGCACTGGGTTAGACTACACTGACTGAATTGAACTGGACTGGACTGGACTGGATTGGATAAGGATAGGGGAAAAGATAAAAGAAAGGGTCAAGACTGATCCCAAAGTTTCAAGCTAGAAGAACCGGGTAGGATCCAGTAGTTGAACGAGAACAATGGAGGTGAAGCAGGTCTTCTTTTGGCTGTTTTTGTTTGTTTACTTGCTTACTTGTTTCTGGCAGGGGGTATCTATTATGATCAATTGTTTTGATCATATACCACTGGAGATACATAAGATACTCCTAGCACCCGCACAATACCTAGGAAATAACAAGCCCTAAATAAGTATATTTGAATAAATAAATAATGAATAAAGTAGAAAAATATGGGAGGCAGCTGAATATAACCGGTGCAAAGTTCAGAAGCAGGGCCAGGTATACACCTGGGAATCATCTATAGATACTGTCTGAAGCTTGGCTTAAGAGTGATGGGTAGCGAAAACAGCCTAGGACAAGGGTGGGCACGGTGGCTCACACCTGTAATCCCAGCACTTTGGAAGGCCGAGGTGGGAGGATTGCTGGACCCCAGGCATTCGAGAGCAGCCTAAGCAACATAGCAAGACCCTCACCTCTACAAAAATAAAAATAAGAAAATTATTCAAGCAGATGGTATGCGTCTATAGTCCCAGCTACTCAAAAGTTGAAGCAGAAAGATCACCTGAGCCCAAGTGATCGAGGCTGTGTGTGGTAAGCTGTGATCGTGCCACTGTTCTCCAGCACAGGTGACAGAGTGAGACCTTGATTCAAAAATAAAAATTAAAAAAAAGCCTAGGACAACGTGTTAAGGAACTCCAACATTTAGCAGTTAGAAAAGAAGCCAGCAAAGAACACTAAAAGAAGAAGAAGGAAATAATATCATAAAAACCAAATAAGAAAATTTCAAGATTAGAGCTATCAATTAAATTCAATGTCACAGGACACTCAAGCAAAATGAGGACTAAAAAGTATCCATTGGGCATGGAGGCTATTGGTGACCTCGGTGCAATCTGTCACTGTAGTAAAGTATAACATAGACCAGAATAGGCTAAAAAACAATGAGTAACCTGAAATTTTTTTTCTTAATTGAGTGACAGATGACTAAATGGAAACAGTGTAGACGGCCCTTTCTTGTTAAGAAGGGAAGATAAAGGGCAGCAGTTGGAAAGGAGGGTGGGATCAGAGAAGAGTTTGTTCTTTTGAATGTGTGAGAAACACAAGCATGTTTAAAAGCTAATGAGTTACTAGTCAGAGAAATGTGTACAGATACAGAAGAAATGGGAGGACAGACATCGCATCCATATCCCTAAAACACAGGAGTGCCAAAAAAAGTATCCATATTTTAAGTATGACATTCATTCAAAAGATTTATTAATCAAATGAACGCTAGCATCACCATGTGACAGGCAGGAGAGTTAAAGAAAATGGCAGAAGCACAATTGAGCAAATGTCATGCTGTACATCGCTGCTATAATTTAATTCAACTTTGAAAAGTAATACATAAATAACATCACTTGAAAAGTGTATACGTTTTTGGCACCCCGTATATAAAATTAATAATTCTTTGTTTAGACATCAGCTTAATAATCACTTCTTCAGAAAAACTGTCCTTTACCTCCCTAACTATATCTATTCCCTCTAGACATTCTTCTCGGCCCTTATCAAACTTATGATTTTACTTTTGTCTGAGTATTAATGTGTCTATCTCACAGAATTTAAGCCATGGAGGAAGAAAATGTCTCTTTTTGTCCTCACCAGAGTATCTCCAGTGTATCTAAATAGGTATTTAGATAGCACCTATTATCTAAAATGCAAGTTAAATAAATGAATTACAGTACATGTTATCAAAAGAAGACAGTTAAATCTATTATGATTCTTCTACACAGACTTTAAATAGAAGAAGGCTCTTCATCAAGTAGTGACGTGGAAAGATCTCTAAGCCATCTTGTTGACTTAAAAACAAAAAGTGGGAGCCGGGCTCGGGGGCTCAGCCTGTAATCCCGCGCCTTTGGGAGGCTGAGGTGAGTGGATTGCCTGAGCCTGCGGGTTCGAGACCCGCCTGGGCAGTGAGACCTCATCTCTACAATAAATCCAAAAATTAGCCGGGTGTGGTAGCGCGCGCCTGTAATTCCGGCCACTCGGAAGGCTGAGGCGGAAGGATCGCCGGAGCCTAGCAGGTTGAGGCTGCGGTGGCCGGGAGCGGCCACTGCACTCCAGTCTGGGCGACAGAGTGAGACTCCAACTCAAAAAAAAAAAAAAAAAAAAAAGTGGGGAACCTGCGTGCTTATACTGCATTAAGTGTGAAGTGTGTATGTGTGTATGTGTGTGTGTGTGTGTGTGTGTGTGTGTGTGTCCACTGGTCTTCATGTCTATCACTATGCCAGTACCACACTACCTTGATTACCATAGTTTTGCAGTTAGCTTTAAAATTGGGGTGAGTGACTCCAACTTTATTCTCCTTTTTCAAGATTACTTTGGCTATTCGAGGTCACCTATTTCCATATGAATCTTAGGATCACCTTGTCAATTTCAGCTAAAAGCCCACTGAGACTTTGACAGAGACTACATTGAATCAGCAATTTGGAGAGTACTACTATTTTAACCATACTCTTACAATTCGTGAACAAGGATATCTTTCCATTTATTTAGGTCTTACTTAATTTCTTTCAATGATAATTTATAGTTTTCAGCATACACGTCTTATACTTCCTTTGTTAAATAATTCCTAAGTACTATATCCTTTTTTATTGTACTGTCAGTGGAATTGTTTCCTTAATTTCATTTATTAACTGGTTATTGTTAGTTATAGAAATGCAACTTATTTTGTGCCTTGATCTTGCACTGTATCCTACAAACTTGCTAAACTCATTTATTAGTTCTAATGATCCTGTATGTGTGTGTGTGTGTGCGCGTGTGTGTGTGAATTCCTTAGTATATCCAAGCTCATGTCATCTGCACATAGATAAAAAATAGTTTACCTCTTCCTTTTCAAAATGGATGACTTTTGCTTTCTTGCCTGGCTGCCTTGGCCGGACCCTCCAGTACAGCATTAAAGACATGGTAAGAATGCACATCCTTGTTATATTCCTGATCTTAAGAAAGTATTCAGTCTTTCATCATTAACTAGGATATTAGCTGTAGGTTTTGCATAGATGCTCTTTATCAGGTTAAGGATGAAATTACCTTCTATTCCTAGTTTGTTGAGTTTGTTTGTTTTTATCCTAAAAGTATGCTGGATTTCTCTGTCTATGGAGATAATTTGTCTTTTGTCATTTACTCAATAAGGCATACTGTATTAATTGATTTTCAGATGTTAAGCCAGTCTTGCATTAATAAATCCCACTTAATAATGAAATAAAATCTTTTTTATATCTTGCTGGCTTCAGCTTGCTTGTATAATGTCAAGAATTTTGGCATTTATATTCAAAAGGGATACCAGTATGTGGTTTTATTTCTTGTAATATCTTTGTCTGATCTTAGTATCAAGGTAATAACACTGACTTCCTAGAATGAGGATGGGAAGTGTTACTTCCTCTTCTGTTCATTTTTTTTTTTTTAAAGAATTTGTGAAGAACAATGCTAATTCTTCTTAAACACTTAGAAAAATTTACCAGTGAAGGTATCCAGGCCTGGGCTTTTCTTTGCAGAAAGTTTTGTGATTGCCGGGCTCGGTGACTCAGCCTGTAATCCCGCGCCTTTGGGAGACTGAGGTTGAGTGGATTGCCTGAGCCCGCGGGTTCGAGATCCGCCTGGGCAAGTGAGACCTCATCTCTACAATAAAGCAAAAAATCAGCCAGGTGTGGTAGCGCATGCCTGTAGTTCCAGCTACTTGGAAGGCTGAGGTGGAAGGATCGCTGGAGCCCAGCAGGCGAGGCTACGGTGGCCGGGAGCGGCCACTGCACTCCAGTCTGGGTGATAGAGTGAGACTCCACTCAAAAAAAAAAAAAAAGAAAGAAAGAAAGTTTTGTGATTACTAATTCAATCTCTTTACTTGAGTTTCCATTTCTTCTTAGCCAGTCTTGGTAGTCTGTGTCCTAGAAATTTGCCCATTTCATCTCTAAATTATCTAATTTGTTGGCATGCAGTTATTCACAGTATTCTCTTATAATTATTTTTCTGTACAGTCAGTAATTACATCCTCTCTTTTATTCATGATTTTAATCATCTGAATCTCCTCTCTCTTGTTCTTGATCAGTCTAAATATTGTCAATTTAGTTATCTTTTAAAAGAATCAAATTTTGGTTTCATTGATTTCCTCTACTTTTTTTATTGTCTTTTTAAATTTCACCTTTACTCTTTATTGTTTTGTCCACTTGTTTTTGATTTAGCTTGCTCTTATTTTTCAGAATGTTATATTATTTCTTTGAAATTGATTGTTCTTAGAGACAGGGTCTTACTATGTTGCCCACACTGACCTCAAACTCCTGGGCTCAAACAAGT